CTACTACTACTACTACTACTACTACTACCACTATTAGCTCAAACATGTCGCGCTAAAGTGAGGGCGAAAATCCCGCGAAAGGAAAACAATAATCCGCGAAGAAGCTATTTCCAGAAACAGGAATATTGATCAGCGCTTATATATATATATATATCTATATCTCTATGTATATATATATATGCATGCCTCATGCATGCATGTATGCATGTATGTATGTATGTATGTATGTACGTATATGCATTATGAAAACTTACACCTGTATAAGGTGTGGAAATACGTACATGGTACACTGGTCGGATCATACAGAGATATCCTTGCTGTGTTCATGCACATACAACACATACATCACAAACATGACATGACTGGCACGCCAAAAACAACTTTTCACATATGATGCCACAAAGCTTCACAGCGTCTCCACAAACACAGCACATCTCAGACGCTAGCTACGTCGCAGACGCTACCTACCGGCTACAGGACTGCACTGCGCGGTAATACATGCGACATGCCATGTTTTGCCGTGTAACATGCCGGCAGGTACAGCACATATGTTCCTGCCACTGTCGTTTGATGGGTTGTACTTCCAATTCGTTTTATCCCGGCAGAATTGCGGTCTTTGATCGTGCGCGAGTGGTCTTGGCCATCTTTGCGAAGAGAGCCTCCTCGACAGTAGCAAGGCGGGGGTGTTGATTCCATACAATCTTCGCTTGATGCCCGAAGACACTGCAAGATTGGGCATTGAGCTGGCAGAGGCCCAGGAGGCGTGCACATAAGCAAAGATGAGCTTTCATGACAGATTCTACATCCAACTACGACGTTGGTGCGCGTAAGAACCGAGGTGAAGGCCAAGCTCGGGGTGCCGTCCCCTGCATTTCGAGAAGGGCCACATGTCGGCTTCGTTGCCCCCAAGCTCAGGCAGGGATGGTGTCGGGAGTGACATCGCTCCCGCCTCATCGGATTGCTGACTGCAGTGCAATTTGATACAACTCCGGGCGTAAGCTGCACGCCGTAGTCTCACCAGACAAACCCCCTCAGGGCCAAGCATGACCTAATCCAGGATTGGAGCCGAAGCAGCGTTGTCCAATTCGAGGCAACTGCAGCAAGTTGCTCATGCACTTGGCAGACTTCCAGGTGCGCGATGTATTCTAAATCCGAGACAGCCCCCCAACAATCCCGCACAGGATGTGACAAATTGGCTCTTCTGCCACGAAGTGCCGGTGCACGTGGTGCTGGGACCCCGGCTTGACACAATGTGCAGGGCTCGAGCTGAACCAGATCTGAAGCTCTTGTACGCATTCGTGACGCATCGTGAATTTCGAGCTTTTCTGTCGTCTGGGGGGTCCAAGTCTGCTCCTGTATTATTGAATGAAGCCGACCATAAGCCACAGCTTTGAGTCACATAGTACTGTAGGAGCTCTTAGCACAAGCAACCTCGATGGACGGCACTGATCCCCAAGATCGAGATTTGCATGATGTCCTTGCCTGTTCCAAGCACTTCACTGACTGTCAATGTCATCATGCTTCAATGCTGCCATCTTTACAGATGGAAGTAACCGACTGCTGCAGCATGCTGCAAATGATTCAAGCTGTGCAGGTCACAACTTCGTTCACGTCGTCCCCGCAGGTCCACTGGTTTTCGATAGCTGGGCTGCATGGGGGATGTCAGCATACACGCACACATACAGAGATGAACATGGATGTCTGTCACAAGAACTGTGGGCTCCCGCGCGCGCGCGCATGCATGCGAGATCGCGCATGCGTTTGTTCCGTCTGCAGATCACGCGGCAGAAGCAGCAGCGGGCCATCGACGAGAAGCGGAGCCGGCTTCGCGAGGAGCCGGAGCTCGGAGCCGCTCGCTTCGCTTCAGCGCTTCTCTGAGCCGTGCAGTGTTGTGCAACGCATTCTGCGATGTGGGCTCCGTTGGCCGCAGCATCGGTACGCATCTTGGACAATCAGATCCTTTTATGATCCTGCCAGCAACTACATGGCACGTGGATCGAAAGCACACGAGCACTAGAGTTGCTTGGATAACTATGCTGGTCGTCTCAGTAGCCATCTCCGACGAAATGCCGCTGCCTTCGACTGATGCGTTTTTTTCGGCAGCTTTGCGCTGCGGTGGTTCTTCAGGTTCCTGGACCGAAATCGGAAGGCCTTGTAGCAAGAGAACATGCACCAGTGCCATGTATAGGTGTTTGCAGCCGTCGACTTGCCAAGTGGGGTGCTTGCGCCTTACCACGCGGCTGACAAGAGGCAGAGTCAGATCTACCAGCCCGGGCATGAAGCAGGTTTCCGGAAGAAGGCTGCGAGGCTCCGTTTTGGAGCCAAGCGAAGACGGTATTGGCAGGCTTGACTGCCGTAGACACGAGCAGTCGCTGCTACATGTAGGGTGCAATCGAACACGTGGTGAATGAAGGTCGGGTCTGGCCACCCACAGAAGCTCAAGTGCTGGCACTGGTAGAAGAAGAGCTCCAGCTGGAACCTGGAGGCTACTGGAGAGTCCATTGCAGCAGGAAGCTTGTCCAGTTGAAAAACTAGCAGCCAGCGAAGTGACAACAAAAGCACTGCGCCTTGCTTTCCTTGGGGCAGATAGCGCTGGATGCAGCAGCGGCCGCTTCGTGCTTTCGGCAGCAGCCTCAGCTCACGGGTTGATCAAGAAACCCTTGAGCCCCTAAACCCGAAATCCTATTGGAAATCCAGAAAAGGTCTGGCAACTCGCGCACGTGAATGCAACGATCCGTGCCTGGCACATTCGCACCAAATTCGGGGCCGAACTCTCTGAGGCTCCAGCGAGGTTTCCCCGACCTGCCTTGACCTTGCGATGTCTTGCGACTTGCTTTTTCAGATGACCTGGCCATCATTGTGGGCTTGGAGAGCTTTTGGCGCTTTGGCGATCTTGCGGAGGCAGGTGCAGGAGGACTGCGGACGACCCCGTTAAGTCCGCGTTTCTTTTGGCACGATGCTTCCGCGAAGAGGATCCCTCTGCACTCTACCCTCGCGAGGCCTCAACCCTGAGGCGGAGTGAGTGAAAAAGAGAGAGCTTTGGCTTTGCCCTTTTGCCATGTTTTGCCCTGGGGCAGTTCCAGCCTGGGCCCGGAAGATGCGGAGTTCTTGGACGCGTTGAGGCGTTGGCAGTTGGAAACTGCTTGTCATCGATCCGCCATTTGGCCGTGCCGAGGCAGGCCTTTGCTGATCCCCGTGCAGAAGCAGGCTGCGGTCGCGTCTATTCGCGTCTGATGTAGTGAAGGAATCTCAGACGGGACTGACAAGCACTACCAAGACCCGCGGAAGTATGCCGTCAATGCATGTTGTGGAGTCTGCGGAGGTGTCGTGCCTCCCTCTAGTGCCGCTGCTAAATTTCTTCATTCGGCTCGACGAGATGCTGCCTGGCTCTTGACAGCCATATCATGGCGACAGCGGCACGATCCTTCGCTCGTCACGCCTTTGCTTTGAGGCCAGTCCACTGGCGGCTACGGACCTGGTGAAAAGTTGCCGATTCTGGGATCGTGTCAGCAGCCTGCAGAGGTTGCATCCGCCTTCTGGATTCTGGCTGTCTCCCTGCACAGCATTCATCATTCTTTCAGCTCAGAGGCGCGGATCTTGCAGCGACTTCGCTAGCGTCGCACATGACAAGTTTGAAAGCATCAAGGTGGCAGGCCTCCTTGTCGAGGGCGAGCAGGTGATCAAGCCCTGGATGCGCGGTACATTGTGGGCATTTCATCAGCTGTTGATCATGGCTTTGCCCTTACACCTTAGGCCCTTAGGCCCGATCTCTTTGACCCTGTGAGGCGCAACCCCATCTCCTGCATTTTGGCCTCCCTTTTGACCCTGTTTCCCTACACTCAAGGCCTGGCCTTTGTTGGACATCCTCGGAGTGATGGACGCGGAGGTGCAAAGCAACCACAGACGAGTCGGGGAGACGTTCGGCACCAGGCTTTCGCTTTGACACCGTCGAACTCGAGAGCCAGATCCACTGCTCCAGGCCAGTTTTTCTTGGCAGGATCTCTACTCATTGTGGGCGTGCAGCGGGCTGCAGGCTCGGATCCCCGCGAGCCGCAATGTACGTATGCGAGCCGCATGGCCCTTGCTGCGGGACGGCTCCTCACAATCAATTCTTGCCGTCGTCTTTGCCGTGCCTTCTGCAGAGTTGCGCAGGACTCGAAGACCAACGCGTGGAAGCCATCGTTGTATTCGGACGACAAGACCGAGTTCGCATCCTGGATACGTGTGCCAGTTAATAACAGTGGCAGCAGCATTAGCTGGAAGCAACAGCTAGACAAGATGCAGGTACTTGCAACGGAATCTTCGCAAGAACGGGGGAGCATCGAACTTAGCCAAAGGCGGTTGGCGATGCTCGGAATGCCAGATGCGTGCTTGCTCCGCGATGGTTGCTGTTACTTCCATGGCTGGAGGTTATCGACAAAGTGCACTTCGTCGTGTTTGCGGCCATGAGGCGTCCAAAGCTTTTTGTGTTCTTCTGAAAAGGCCATCTCAACATGAAGGCACGACTTCGAGTATCTGGAGCAATTGATCGAGGAGAACGTCGTCACCCTAGATTTCCTCGACAGACAGTGTTGACACTGTTTAGCCTGATGCTATTGTTTTGGGAATTCGTGAAGTTCGGATCCACATGGTGGACTCAAGGCAGTGCCGGTGTGCTACGCTACACGACATCCCCCGGTTGTCGACTCATGCACTCATTCGTATTTCTGAGGCCCCTTGGTACGCTTATCCCGTCGTCACGGGCAGGCACGGTGAGGGAGAGCATCACGGGCGTTGCAATTCGAAGCAATCGCCCTCTGTCACACTTGGTCAGGCGCCTGGCTAAGATTTATTCTGTCTGCAACGATCCGAACACGGCAACTCATCTGCACTGTCCAGACCCTGTCGCCCCAACCCAAGTGGGGTGAGCTCCAGGTCTACCTGAAAATTGACGATGACATCGTTTACATCTCAGACGAGGCTAGCCGAACCGTCCTTGCGATAGTTCGAGAAGCACGCAACCTGAGTTGAAGGCCATTACAGAGATGGTCCGCGAACGACTTCGCAATCGCTGCGGACTAGTTTCTGCAAATGCGACCAACTCAGAAACTACGAAGCGACATTGCGACGTGTAGAGCAGAGCTTGGCAGCACCATGAAGATCTTGTCAAAACCATTACCAACCGCTTTAAAAGCGCCTCTCAGCCGAGGTGATAAACCACGCAATTCTATCGGCCGTTCATCAGGCAGCTTCAAAGACTGCTGCACCATTTTTACAGCCATTATTCTGAGCGGTTCCAGCGGAGCCCGAACGAAGGACATTGGTGCACTGCGTCACTTCTTCCCGAGCAGCGAGGAAGAATTGTTAGCGAATTGTATTCCAGGGGCTGGGCGGAGTGGTGATTGTTGGTACATTATTCAGCTTCACATTTGGCAGGAATTACCTAACTAAACCGGGGCTGAAGTTCCTGGGTTCGTTTTGCAGCATGCAGGCTTGTGTGCTCCAAATTGAGCTTCCCTGGCCGCAGGAACCTGGATCTGTGCAGGGGCCCCAACTATCACAGTCCTAGCAAAGGCGGAAGGAAAAGGATTGGAGGAGTCTTGGAGGACAGGGTCGATTTGCGATTTGCTGGCTGTTGCGAAAGATGCCGGATGGCACGTCCTTTATAGGTATGGCGTGAACGTTTTCATACTTCAACCGATCAACTCCGAGGATTGGCACATGTCAATCGTTGTCAATCGATCTCAAATCATATATGTTCCGTCATAATTTGCTTATTCCGCCCTCCCTACCCTGATTTCACTACGTTTTTCCTATGTTTTCGTCTGCGCGTAGCGACCGAGAAACGGTGGGTCCTCATAATCTCGAGAGGCATGTCAGTCAGTTGGCCACCGATGTGGAAGTATTTGGAGTGCAAAGTTGTTTTAGCTATGAGCTGTGTTAGTTGCGAGCTGAACTGCCTATCATCCTGCCGCGGAGTGGTCGTGCACTTAGGTGGGTTCGCAACGACGATGTCCTCCCGCTGATGGCCATTGAGAAGCGTGATGCCTGGTGGTAGCAGCAGATTCCACCACGCGAGATGTGATGGTTTATTATTGCCTGGCATCAAATTTGAGGAAGTCACAAAGCCAATGCGTTTGGTCGACATGGCAGTGTGCTGCATGGATGCACGAGAGCTTCCTGCCACTCGGCCACAATGATGCCGCAGACTGTATCGTCTTTCCGGGTCGTGCTGCACACAGGCTGGGTGTTCTCCGATGTGAGGTCGCGACTGGCAGACGGCACGGAGTGTGCCTACGATTTTGGTTGGCATGACTTTCATGCCAGTGGACACGGACAATTCGATGGTGCACGGCCCAGATGTTTCAGCAGATCCAAAGGGTTCATGCGAATGCCAAGTCGCAGCGCGCAGGTGCTCGCTTTCTGCCACTGCCCCACACTAGATGGAGCTTCCACTGCAGAGCATGTAGAAAGAGAGCCATCAAGAAGCAGAAAGACTTGCTGCGCTGCCGGACTAGGAGCATCAACATGGTCGCCTTCAAGGCTGAGGTGGAGTTGGCGCTTCTCAGTCCCTGAGAGCCAAAGCAGACATCCGTGGTGCCAGGATGTTGTGGATGCAGTGCCCGAAGATTTGGCCGAGGACGACGAGAAGGAGCTCTCGGTCGTTCATCCCGCCAGGCCTTGGCGAACATGTCAGTTGTGGTAGTTGCGGCTCAGAATGGCCCAGACTCTCCCGCTCCGTGTAGCAATGTAGGGTGTCTCATGCTGAGCTGCAGATTTTGGCTTGGTTGCAGGTTGGAGAAGCGTTCCTGCGCTGTGGGTGCTGCGCATGTCCCCTAGCATGGGTCGGAAGA